TGGGCAGGTTGAACGTGTCAACCAGGATGTGGGTAGGTTTCTGAGGTCTTATTGCCAGGGCCGGCCGGAGGAGTGGGCGAGATACGTTCCGTGGGCCGAGATGGCACAGAACTCTCTCCGCCACTCCTCCACCCAACTAACCCCTTTCCAGTGTGTGTTAGGGTACCAGCCGGTTCTGGCACCTTGGCACGAGAGCCAGATCGAGGCCCCTGCGGTGGATGAGTGGGTGCGGCGCTCGGAGGAGACATGGAACGCTGCCCACGTTCATCTGCAGCGGGCCATCCGTCGGCATAAGACGAGCGCCGATCTCCACCGCAGTGAGGGGCCTGTGTACGCACCTGGAGATCGAGTCTGGCTCTCGACCAGAAACCTGCCCCTCCGCCTGCCCTGCCGGAAGCTGGGTCGGCGGTTTGTGGGGCCATTCAAAGTCCTGAGGAGGTTGAACGAGGTGTGTTACAGGTTAGAACTGCCTATTGATTACAGGAATATTAACCCCTCGTTCCATGTGTCTCTCCTCAGGCCGGTGGTAGCTGGTCCACTCCAGGACTATGAGATAGAAGAGACTCCTCCGCCCCCGTTGGACATCGAGGGGGCTCCGGCGTACACTGTGAGGTCCATCCTTGATTCGAGACGCCGGATGGGGGGTCTCCAATATCTCGTGGAGTGGGAGGGGTACGGCCCGGAGGAGCGGTGCTGGGTGCCGAGGAGGGACATATTAGACCTGTCCCTGCTGACCGAGTTCCATCGGGGTCATCCTACGCGCCCTGCTCCGCGTCGTCCTGGTCGTCCCCGAGGCCGGGATCGGCGCACGGCTGGAGCCGCGCGTCAAGGGGGGGGTACTGTCACGGTTTCGGCCGAGGCTGCTCCTCCTCCTTGTTTGGGCAGGCTTCGGCGGTCGTCGTCCCCGGAGTACTAGCTGCCACCGTTCGATGTTTCATGTTTGTTTGGTTTTGTCTGTTTGTACACCTGTCCCTTGTTAGTGTTTGATTTGGTTGCCTATTTAGTTTTCGTGTGTGGGGGCAGGTGTTATGTGGTATTGTTTATTGTCAAGCTGTTGCTCTTTTGTATTACTCTCGTGTTTGTTGTTTTTCGAGAGTCCGCACTGTGTGTGCTATCTTCATTTTACGCACTGTGTGTGTTGTGCGTAATTTGTATTTTGCCTCCCGGTTGGGTTGGCTGTTCGCCTGTTTGGTGCTGCATTTTGTTAACTAAAGTCTGTTGACGAACGCCCGTGTTTCCTGCACTTGATTTCCTCACCGCATCTACACTCAGCTACTGACAGGATATAGTTACTTTTGTACCTGTTTCCTCCAGCATCTTCACAAGGTCCTTTGCTGTTGTTCTGGGAATGATTTGCACTTTTCGCACCAAGGTACGTTTATCTCTAGGAGACAGAATGCGTCTCCTTACTGAGCGGTATGACGGCTGCGTGGTCCCATTGTGTTTATACTTGCGTACTATTGTTTGTACAGATGAACGTGGTACCTTCAGGCGTTTGGAAATTGCTCCCAAGGATGAACCAGACTTGTGGAGGTCTACAATTATTTTTCTGAGGTCTTGGCTGATTTCTTTTGATTTTCCCATGATGTCAAGCAAAGAGGCACTGAGTTTGAAGGTAGGCCTTGAAATACATCCACAGGTACACCTCCAGTTGACTCAAATGATGTCAATTAGCCTATCAGAAGCTTCTAAAGCCATGACATCATTTTCTGGAATTTTCTAAGCTGTTTAAAGTCACAGTCAACTTAATGTATGATTATCCACTCAACAACACTCAACTTCTGACCCACTGGAATTATGATACAGTGAATTATAAGTGAAATAATCTGTCTGTAAACAATTGTTGGGAAAATTACTTGTGTCATGCACAAAGTAGATGTCCTAACCGACTTCCCAAAACTATAGTTTGTTAACAAGAAATTTGTGGAGTGGTTGAAAAACGAGTTTTAATGACTCCAACCTAAGTGTATGTAAACTTCCGACTTCAACTGTACCTGAAATGTGATACAGTAGGATGGGCAGAGAATCAATCACAGTTTATACATGTTCATTCTTGCTACAGTCACCATTTTACAGTGAGTGTGATGCCCCAGGAGAAATCTCTCTATGTATCACCTCCTGTCCCTGCCCTCAGTGGAGTGTGACAGGGAGGCTGGAATATGCTGCAGAGGACAAGGTTCCCATGAGAAGATGTCTGAGACTACACGATGAGACGTAAGTCCAACTGACTTTCCAAGGACACATAAAGTATCTCTTTTATCACTACTAGTGGCCTATTCCTCTTATTAATGTTGATTTAACACTATTGCTACACAGCCACTGAACTACTACAATGAAATTACACTCAAAGCTGTTCTATCAGGGTTCAAGAGCAATGTATTCAGTCAATCTCAGACATCTGAATGGCTGCTTCTGCTATAAACCACATACCCAACTTGCAGTGAACAAGGCATACAACTGTCAATACAATGCAATGTGAAGAACATAGACTGTGATCAATGTTCCAGAACGCTGACTCCTTTATATTTGCCAGGAGCACTGTGAGATTCTATACACTAGCTTTTGGCCCATACCTCATATTTCTCAACAGTCTCACTTGAGAGGGGGAGAATAACAAGTGATTCAATACTGAGGTACAGTTCATCTGAAAGTATGCTGTTGCAACGCCAAAAGAAAACGGGTCAACATTTGAATTTGAGCAGATATTCACTGGTGACTCAGTGCTCAGTTCATAGAAGTTGGAGTTTCTTATTTCAAAGGTGCATGGGGGAATTAAATACTGTGTAAGCACAGAGAAAATTAGCTTCTCATTACATTCTTGCTCAAATGACTATCCACTCAACAAGTTTTTGCAGATACCGAACTTTCTTTCCAATCAGAAATGTTGAGGTAAAGCTGAAATTAATTGGGTAATTGTGAAATTAAGTGTGTACAGTAGACACAAAGTTCATCTTCAGCACAGGTGCTTTCAACACTTCATTATGATATTCAGGGGAGGGAACTGTTCAACTGTAAAAAGAATCATGTGTCATTCATTAAGGGACAATACATTAAAGTAGCAACCACACACAACAACCTTCGGCATCACCTCAGGTTATTGACTCAGCTAAGACATAAATCTACCCAAAACCATGACAAACAGACCGTTCCAAACATCACACTGGATAACGGATGTGATTAGTTACCTCTTATCACCAAAATGCTCCAGTCAGAAACATGATTTATTATTGTCCTTTCATTTTAAAGAATTAGCGTGCACCCTCGAAGACAAAAGGAAAACAGTCAAAGCGATGTTTTAGACCTATTTAGCGATACCCTAAAAAAATCATACATTCAAAGTGGTTAAGTCAGGACTCCACTTATGCACTAGCTTGGGGATCATTTGATAGTTTGCCTCGCCATCATTTTGTACTCACATGCTTGTCTTAACATATATATTATTGCTAAATATATTGCCCTGCCAGACTGCCAATCAATGGAGAGGAACATAACAGGTGCATGTACAAACTGGTAGAAACTGGCACACAATAATGAGAGAAAAGGAAAAGTGTTGACAGCTTTTATCACTGCTTAGATCGTTGGTAATAGGTTGGTAATAGCTTCAGGGGAAATGTATGTTGAGTAAGATGGGAGGGCAGTTAGAGAAACTGCTAATGTTTATACAATCCAACTGTCTTGATTTTTATGAGAGCATAGGTTGCGTTATTAGTGGCATCATAAGAACTTGCAAAACCTCTAAAAAGTTTTATATTTTCATTGACTTTGACTGATAATAGAACAACATACTCTCTAGTATCTATTTTCTGGAAGATGTTGAGGTTCTGTGACGTCCATGATGTAAAAAATGAACAAATATGTGCTTCAAGTACACAGATGATATTAAAATGCTACTCATAAGATTTCCACTAAAGGCTTCCCTAAAGGCCTTTCCATTGTTACTAGCGCCTACACATGCCCCCTGAACTCCCAAGAGGTGACCGATAAATAAATACAATAAATACATGAATTTGGCTTGATGTATATGTTTTATAAAAAAATGTATTTAAATGGCATAGCAATACACAATGCAAACATTATTTTTACTCACGTCATGCTCAAATTCAAAGGATATGTTTCTCTTGAGCATTAATGGGCACATCCAATTGCAAATAATATTTATTTATTTGCAAATAATATAACATTTTATAAATGCTTTAACATTTTATAAATACTTTACTGATATACTTCATCCACATATTATATAAAGTATATCAGTAAAGCATTTATAAAATGGTTGTACAGAATTATCTTCATAAGAAATGTGTTACTGCAATTTAATTACATTATATCAACATTTAGACATTCATCTTCAGACAAAACATTGGACTTCCAAGCCATTGAATATCCAAAATAAAATCTGTGCATATGCTCTACTATCTACAAAATATCTATGTTTAACAGATTTTACAATGTACTTGTGAACAGCGCATCATATTTACAAATATATTTACTTGAAGATTAGATTCATTATAGTTACATTAATGTTGAAGGCATACAAGTGTTTGAGGATAAACCTAAGTATTGTAATTAAAATATCAGGGTATTGGCCAGCGCTTGGTGCCTGACTCCCTTACAATTAATATCTGAAAAAAAACACTTTTCCTGTATCACAACTAAGACAGATTAGCCATGCCCTTGCACGAGCACGACCCCGGTTATATTTTGATGAAGCACAGGACTAAGTAGGCTTGGAAGATGATGATAGTGTTATTAATCCTTTGCGTCAGTCTGCCTCTCACTGTAAGCCAATTGTACAAAACATATGCCTATTGAGTGATGTAACGTCACAACAAGCTGAAGTCATTTACTGTAGCCTTGTTAGTACATAAAGCTGCAATATAATTAATGTACTATACAGTACAACACTGAAATCTTAACCTTTTCACCATTGTATCTTTCTGTCACAGATTTCTTATGAGTACTGAAATGGAATGATTAATGTGAGCACAAGATGGTGCTATTTATCTATCTATCATCTGTACTGTGATGAATAAGCAACAGCAGATCCGTGAGAGTAGTGTGTGTATGTGTGTTTGTGGTGTGTGCGTGTGTCTGTGCGTGTGTGTGTGTGTGTGTGCGTGCGTGTGTCTTGTGAATCTCTTCTGGTGGAGCCTGGGCTATACAGGAGGCCAGACTCTGTAGCATTATTTCTCAACCTCTCAACCTCCATGGAGGTCCATGGAGCAGCACTGGTCCCTGAGATGTTGCTGACTGGTCCCTCAGATAGTTCATAGTTGTGGGAGAACTTCACTTCTCAAGTGTTCAATTTCAATATAAGCGGCCCACCTAAATAGTTTGTTTTAATCCAAAGAAAATATCCATAATTTGCCAGTCCCTGGTTCAAAAATTGTTGCAAAATCCCTGGTCTATAGGATAACACAGACACTGGTAGGGTTGTGCTTGTCCATAACAGCAGTGGGTGTCCCGCCCTTCTTACTGCCAAAGTCCTCAGGGTAGAGGGCTGCGTATCCCACCGCCTCCACAGACCTCCTCTTCTGGACGCGGTGGAGAAGGATACGGTAGGTCCCCGTCAGGGGGCTGCGATTGTCTGTACAGGTGTTGTTCTGCAGGTGGACTCCCTTGATGCCCAGATCAGACAGGGCCAACTTCACCTCCTGCTCCTCCACACACAGGGCCTGGGAGGTCTCAGCCAGGTGAAAGGGCGTCTGGGGCAGTGGGCCGTACGCCCGAGGGTACTCGATGCTCTTCAGCCACGTGCTGGTCATTATCAGGGAGATGGAGTCACGGTCGGCGGGCACAGGCCTCAGCATGCCCTTTATGGCTAGTTGGCAGGGGTTGGGTACATAGTCCGGGAAGGCGTAGGCTCCCTGCATGATACAGCGCTTCAGACGACCGAGGTTGTCGGCGTGGAAAGGCATGGTGGCGGTGACCATGAAGTAGAGCAGGATGCCCAAGGCCCAGATGTCCACATAACGACCCACGTAGCCTTTGTCTTTGAAGAGCTCTGGAGCGGCATAGGGTGGGGAGCCACAGAACGTGGTGAGGACTTCAGTTGGAGCACTCACGATACTGAAGCCAAGGTCTCCCACCTTGATGCAGTAGCTGGTGGTGTAGAAAACGTTCTCTGCTTTCAGGTCTCGGTGGACAATGTTGTTGTCGTGCTGAAATGATAACAAAAAGGGGTAGGGTGGGGGTATGTTAGTTGGATGTTGCTATAAAATTACGATGTGCTCTCTGAATCAATCAAGCAAGAGTAGCCTACAATAATTGGATACATTCTGGTAAATCCTGGCCATAGACAATGCATGATTTATGCGAAAGTTATGCACCCAATCCTCAAGTTAGGAAACTGCCTTAATCACAGAGTAGAATTGCCATCTGTGCCTGTCTTCTGTTCAATGCTTTGACTGGTTATAGCTCACCATGTGTTTGATGGCAGAGATGATCTGGGCAAAGGTGAGCTTGGTCTCCAGGTCAGACAGACGCCCCTTGTTGGTGATACGTGAGTAGAGGTCTCCCCCACTGCCGTACTCCATCACCAGGTACAGGCGCTTGGTGGTCTCGATCACCTCATAGAGACGAACAATGTTAGGGTGGGACAGCTTCTCCATACAGCTGATCTCTGTGGCAAACAGGGACTGAGACTTCTTGTCCAGCCGAAGCTTATCCAAAATCTTGATTGCGACCCTCTCTGAGAGAGAGAGAGAGAGAGAGAGAGAGAGAGAGAGAGAGAGAGAGAGAGAGAGAGAGAGGAGAGAGAGAGAGAGAGAGAGAGAGAGAGAGCTCTCGGAGAGAGCCCAGAGAGACCTCTCGCTCGTTCTCTATCTCTCTCTCTTCTTTCTCTGTGGGTAAACGAACTACAGAATGATCGTAGGGGAGAGAGGGTATGAAACCAATACAGAAATGATAGGAGAGCAGGAAGGGTGATCAGACATTAATTTAATTTGAAGCTTCACCAAGTTATATAACGTCCAGTGAAACATGTGCCTGAGAGGAGAATGTGAGGGTAAATGAAGACCCCCCGTCTCCCCACCCCCCATCTCGCCATCTCTCCTGTGTTATTTCCCTGCAGGCATCTCTAACTGCTCGCTACAGAAATTAAAGAGAGCTGTATAAAACATAAATTCACCACAGGGGGTGAGGGGGGATCTGAGGCGATCAGGAGGTGCTTAGTTCAGGCGATCACCCCTTGTCCTCTGGCATCAGTATTCACCCTGTTATAATACCCCCCTGGAGACAGAGTCTGTGTGGCAGGCAGGGGAGGCTAGAGACAGGGTCAGCTCAGAGGGAACCGGTCAGTAGGAATGTGTTAGTGAGCTATATCTTCATACTGCCAGGTCCCATCCATTGAGTAGGAACTATAATGTCCATTTTGTTACATTTTCCAAAGTGGCATCAGTTGGTATACTGAATGTAACATATGATTATATCATTGGAGACGAGGTACAGTGTACTGCTCAACTCTCACTCTGGTTACTGTACCAGTCATGCTTGACTGGATTAATTTAACTAACTACTGAAAGGATGACGAAGAAATAAATCCCTCCTTACCTTTAGTCAGAGCATGGATACCCAATCTAACGTGGGAGAAGTTCCCACACCCTATTTCCCCCCTGAGCTCGTAGAAGGAGATCCTCCGGCCCAGTATGAGGTCGTTGACTACCCTCTGGTCGTGGTTCATGTCATAAAGCACCCTCTCAAACGGTGTCTGCCTCATCCTCTGTTCTGGGGTCAGTTCTGGTATAATAGGACGGGCTGGAAGGACTTTGGGTGTTTTGTCCAACAGCGTTTCACTCGTCTCACTTGGCTTGGCTTTCTTATCCTCCTTGTCCTTGCGTTTTGGCCATGCTAGTCTGGATTTGAGTCCTAAAGGCACAAAGAATAAAATATGAATTAGAGGTGAGATTTTTATTTGGGTGAGGTTCACTGTGTTCAATGGCAGGGATTCTGATTTGGGACTATTGGGGGTAGACGTTGAACCTTTCTCTGACCTCTCCAGTTAGCTCTATTCACATAAAATAACATCACACAACTTCTTAAATATCCTACCGCTCCCTTCTATCATGCATTGATACATATGACTTACCCGTCTTTCTTCTGTAGCTCAGCTGGTAGAGCACGGCGCTTGTAACGCCAAGGTAGTGGGTTCGAACCCCGGGACCACCCATACACAAAAAAATAATGTATGCACGCATGACTGTAAGTCGCTTTGGATAAAAGCGTCTGCTAAATGGCATATTATTATTATTATTATTCCTGTTAGTTCCTATTGGATCATTGAGCATTGATACAAAGGATCATCGATTCAAACTGTCACATATTATAACTCTCTCTATGTGGAACCTTTTGTTAGAGGCTTGGGGCACAGCTCTACTGATGCTCTGACTGGCCTTAAGGATTCAGAATAGCCGTCAATATGTATTTTAGGTCATCGTTACAAAAGGTGATTTAATTGCAGACATGGAGCTCCACCTCTGGGTAAATGTGCAGTCTGCAGGACAGTCATAATAAGATTGGCTCACACTAATCTCCATGCAGGAGACTCCTGTTGACTTGAACGGAATGTCCGGCCAGCTAAATAATCATCTTAACCAGCTTTAAGTGACATTGACTATTCTTACTAGTGCATATTGGAGACAGCGACACTTGGAAATAGCACAGCAGTATTGACTCTAAGAACTTCCTATGGTAAAATGTATGGATCTATTTAGTTTTTTTATCCAAGCGAAACAAATCATTCAGTGCCTCAGATACAGTAAATCAATAATTGATGTAACAATTTACAATTCGAGAGGAGAACTACATAAAGAGCAATGCATTTAACAATGGAAATAAGTCCCAGACTTTATTGTGTTATCCTCAATGATTTTACTCATGTGCATGTATGGCTTTTTCAAGTTTTATGTGTGCTTGTTTTCTAAAATTCTCGAATTAATAAACTAAACTGTCTAGTAAGAGGAGAAAAGGCATTGATTGGCATACTGCTATTGGCAATGCTATAGTCCCGTGTAGCTCAGTTGGTAGAGCATGGCGTTTGCAACGCCAGGGTTGTGGGTTCGTTTCCCACGGGGGACCAGTATGAAAAAAAAAAAAAAACATGTATGCATTCACTAACTGTAAGTCGCTCTGGATAAGAGCGTCTGCTAAATGACAAAAAAAAAATGTTGGAACAAAAATTGTAAATACAAAAATGCGTGCATACCGCAGATTACAATATATGGCACATCAAGCACTATCCCCTAAATTATATGTGGCCTTGTACTTGAACTGTAGATCATCAACTCTAAGCATAAAAGGAGGTGGGGATTGACCTTACCTCACTACATTATTTATTTAGTGGACACAGATAAGGTCAGGTTGGGTCATGGAGATATATGACTGTGAGGTCAGCACCAACATCTATAATAGTTGGTAGGATTAGCCAATGACGCCTTGGTCTAATGAGGTCAGAGCAGAGCATCTCATTTTTGGCCTGTCCTTCAATAGGAAGGCTTGGGCAGGCCATTATAGCGTTCTACAGTATCTTATGTACAGTATAACTGCGTTGTGCATTCCTACACTGTAATCAGTCTATGGCAAGGTATGACAGCAATCCATACTTTGGTTTAATTTGAAAATAAAATTTTCAACCAATTTTGCTCACTGGTAGTGTACTCTCTTGCTGTGCTACAAGAAGCTATCTGGTTGAACTGTTACACAACACAATGACCAGTTACAACTGGATCAGTGCCCCTGAACTTTAGGTGATCATATTTTCTGATGCAATGCAATTCCTTATAGTTTCTCTGTAACCTGTAATATTTTTAAACAGACACTAATATCAAATGCATGCCATTATTTTTTGCCTAGCTGTCTGTTTTGTGCTTGCAGTTGCCTTACATTTTTAAATGTTTAATTTAACCTTTATTTAACTATGCAAGTCAGTTAAGAACAAATTCTTATTTACAATGAAGTCCTAAAAAGTTAAACAGTATATTGATTCAGAAATGTAATAACAGGAGTTCCCAAGTAAAAAGCAATGAGGTTTGCAAGAATTCCAATTTAAAACCACCATTTGTGATAATTTGTTTGATTATTTTCTAGTATTGCAGTAAAAAGAAATACACAATTTCATAATGCCCTATAGAAATGGCAACACATATTGTTATGGGGGCACAATAAATGACTGCTTTTGTCTTATTGATCTGATAAATTTTTTTATGTATTTTATCTAAGTTTGTTGGGACCAAATTAAAGGCCTAAATAAGTAGACTACATGCAATTAGACTATATGTCAACCCATATTAGACTATATGTCAACCCATATTAGACTATATGTCAACCCATATTGGACTATAAATTATAATATAATAATATAATATAACATATAATATAATATAACATATAATAATTAACATATTAATATGCCATTTAGCAGACGCTTTATCCAAAGCGACCTTACAGTCATGCGTGCATACTTTTTTGTATGGTGGTCCCGGATCGAACCCACTACCTTGGCGTTACAACGCCGTGCCTACCAGTGACTAGACTACTATGTCAACCCATATTAGACTATATGTCAACCCATATTGACTATATGTCAACCCATATTAGGACTAATGTCAACCATATTAGACTATATGTCAACCATATTAGACATATGTCACCATATTGGTACTATGTCAACCCATATTAGACTATATCAACCATATTAGAACTATATGTCAACCCATATAGACTATGTAAACCAAATTAGACTTAACCCATATTGGACTATATGTCAACCCATATTGGCTTAATGAACATATTTGCATCAAAAGCTTTTTCAAACAGAAATGTGGCAGGGATGTGGGTTCGTTTCCCACGGGGGGCCAGTATGAAAAAAACAAAAAACGTATGCATTCACTAACTGTAAGTCGCTCTGGATAAGAGCGTCTGCTAAATGACGAAAATGTAATGTAATGTAATGCATCCTGTAGCACTAACTCCAAAAAGTTTTGGGACACTGTAAAGTCCATGGAAAATAAGAGCACCTCCTCCCAACTGCCCACTGCACTGAGGCTAGGAAACACTGTCACCACCGATAAATCTACAATAATCGAGAATTTCAACAAGCATTTTGCTACGGCTGGCCATGCTTTCCACCTGGCTACCACTACCCTGGCCACCAGCTCTGCAACCTCTGCTGCAACTTGCCCATGCCCCCCCGCTTCTCCTTCACACAAATTCAGACAGCTGATGTTCTGAAAGAGCTGCAAAATCTGGACCCCTACAAATCAGCTGGGCTAGACAATCTGGACCCTTTCTTTCTAAAATTAGCTGCCGAAATTGTCGCAACCCCTATTACTAGCCTGTTCAACCTCTCTTTCGTAACGTCTGAGATCCCCAGAGATTGGAAAGATGCCGCGGTCATCCCCCTCTTCAAAGGGGGTGACACTCTAGATCCAAACTGTTACAGACCTATATCCATCTTGCCCTGCCTTTCGAAAGTTTTTGAAAACCAAGTTAACAAACAGATCACCGACCATTTCGAATCCCACCGTACCTTCTCCGCTATGCAATCCGGTTTCCGAGCTGGTCATGGGTGCCCCCAGCCACGCTCAAGGTCCTAAACGATATTATAACCGCGATCGATAAAAGACAGTACTGCGCAGCTGTCTTCATCGACCTGGCTAAGGCTTTCGACTCTGTCAACCACCGCATTCTTATTGGCAGACTAAATAGCCTTGGTTTCTCTAATGACTGCCTCGCCTGGTTCACCAACTACTTCTCAGATAGAGTTCAATGTGTCAAATCGGAGGGCCTGTTGTCTGGACCTCTGGCCGTCTCTATGGGGGTGCCACAGGGTTCAATTCTCGGGCCGACTCTATTCTCTGTGTATATCAATGATGTCGCTCTTGCTGCTGGTGACGCTTGGATCCACCTCTATGAGGACGACACCATTTTGTATACATCTGGCCCTTCATTGGACACTGTGTTAACAAACCTCCAAACGAGCTTCAACGCCATACAACACTCCTTCCGTAGCCTCCAACTGCTCTTAAACACGGCGGGTCTGACCTAGAGTATGTGGACAACTACAAATACCTAGGTGTCTGGTTAGACTGTAAACTCTCCTTCCAGACTCACATTAAGCATCTCCAATCAAAAGTTAGATTTAGAATCGGCTTCCTATTTCGCAACAAAGCCTCCTTCACTCATACTGCCAAACATGGCCTCGTAAAACTGACTATCCTACCGATCCTTGACTTCGGCGATGTCATTTACAAAATAGCCTCCAACACTCTACTCAGCAAATTGGATGTAGTCTATTACAGTGCCATCCATTTTGTCACCAAAGCCCCATATACTACCCACCATTGTGACCTGTACGCTCTTGTTGGCTGGCCCTCACTACATATTCGTCGCCAAACCCACTGGCTCCAGGTCATCTATAAATCACTGCTAGGCAAATCCCTGTCTTATCTTAGCTCACTGGTCACCATAGCAACACCCACCCGTAGTCTGCACTCCAGCAGGTATATCTCACTGGTCATCCCCAAAGCCAACACCTCCTTTGGCTGCCATTCCTTCCAGTTCTCTGCTGCCAATGACTGGAACGAACTGCAAAAATCTCTGAAGCTGGAGACTCTTATCTCCCTCACTAACTTTAAGCGTCAGTTGTCAGAGCAGCTTACCGATCACTGCACCTGTACACAGCCCATCTGAAATTAGCCCACCCAACTACCTCATCCCCATATTGTTATTTATTTTGCTAATTTGCACCCCAGTATCTCTATTTGCACATCATCTTTTGCACTTCTATCATTCCAGTGTTAATACGAAATTGTAACTATTTTGCACTATGGCCTATTTATTGCCTTACCTCCATAACTTACTACATTCGCACACACTGTATATATATTTTCTGTTGTATTTTTAACTTTATGTTTTGTTTACCCCATATGTAACTCTGTGTTGTTGTTTTTATCGCACTGCTTTGCTTTATCTTGGTCAGGTCACAGTTGTAAATGAGAACTTGTTCTCAACTGGCTTACCTGGTTAAATAAAGGTGAAATAAAATAAAATAAAAAATAAAAATAAAAAGATTTGCTAAAAAGTTATTTATATGCATTTTATATTATTTTGCATATAACTACCCACTCACAAAATAATAGTTTTAAGTGTTACCTGGTAGTTGCGGATCCTTCATCTCTTTCCTTCAAGTCCAGCAGTAGAGACTGATAAAGTGTGTGTGAATGGAGTGGCTCACCATCACTAAACCTCAGGGCATTACCCTGACAATCCTATTAACACCGTGTATTAATATCCATTAGAGACTGATATAGACAAGGCAGCACTAAATCTCTGGACACGCAGCTGGAGCACTTTTCTCTATCCAGCTATATCACATGAATCTAATGTATTGATAAACATTTAACATTATTGAAAGGTAGGCCTATCGAATTCAATATTTATGACAGGTCTATCTACAAACAATTCAAACAATTAATAATTGCACACATTTCTACAGCAATAGAGAAATGGAGATGGCAATTTAATGTAACTGATATGATCTGTCATGTTTTCTATTTAGCATCGTTGGCGTTCTGTAGTAAATGTTTCACAACGTTTAGGAGCGCTGAGGAGTTGTGAACACTCACCCATGTCACATGGGGTTTGTTTGGCTTCGGTTCGAGACAATCATCGCCTCATGAAGTCGGCCATTTCTCCAATCACACACAAGGAATAGTTGGCGGGAGTGAAAGGGGAGGGACATTCGAATGTGTGATTCACGAATTCGAACACATTTTCTACGCTAGTAAAGTAGCACATGCTAGCTACGAACTGTACGTTCGTGGCTACATTTTGACAACTCGTTTGTTTACAAGAGAATGGCGGAAACTGTTGCAGTGCCTGTCGCCCCCTTGGCACCCACAGAGTCGGACCCAGAGCGGTGTGAAGACGAGGAAGAGCTACGGGGGAACGAGGCTGAAGAGAACAACCAACAAACTGGGCCTGTTGCAGCAGCTCCCCAGAACCGTCTCGCGAAGTTACCGCTATCCCGCATCAAGACAATGATGAAAGCCGACCCAGACGTGTCCCTCGCCAGTCAAGAGTCTGTGTTTATCATAGCTAAAGCCACAGTAAGTTAAAACTATTACTTGGAGTAGGTAGCTGTATTAGGGTTTGTTTTCATATTTGGTAGCCTACAGTCAACATGGACTAATGCCATGTAACTACATTTTAGTCATTTAGCAGACGCGTTTTATGGTTAAGTACCTTGCTCAAGGGCACATTTTTCACCTAGTCGGCTCAGGGATTAGAACCAGTGACCTTTCGGTTACTGGCACAACGCTCTTAACCACTAAGCTACCTGCCGCCCCAGTTGATTGATGGTCCTTGATGGTTGTAGTTAGTTAATAGAGTGCCACAGGATGAGTCATAATACCCATAAAACCTAGAGGTCAAACAGGGAAATGGTTCCAATCGTTTTTCCACCATTCATTTTTCCCATAGGGGTTTTTGGAAACACTTAAAATAAGGGCTGTGTTTCGTGTAGGCTTACCCTGGCGTGACGTTTTGTTAACTGTGTAAATCTCTCCAGGACAAGGTGACTTATCAATATATTCGTATGTATTTACCCCCCCAAAATGAAATGCTAATTAGCTGCTAATGTGGCTATCATAAGGAACTACACATGCAATGTTTATCTGGACTAGACTGCCGAATCAAGGCAAAGCTAAGAATCTCTGGATGAACTATATAATGTTAGCTAGATTTAGTAATGAATAAATAGGCTACATTTCTTTAAATTGACAATTCTGTGAACTGTCTTGTGCAAATGTTTTATTGACACAATACCTGTTAGTAAAGGGATCAGCTAGAGATGACGTGCTGGAGCTTGCAGGGATTTGTAGTTTTGCATGATGTCTATTTTGATGCTAATTAGCAGTTTAAAATCTGAGCGTAAATAGAACCGACTATATTGATAAAAGTCACCTCGTCCGAGAGAGATTTACATGGTTATCAAAATGTCATGCCAGGGTGAGCCTACATCAAATCAAATTTTATTGGTCACATACACATATTTGGCAGATGTTATTGTGGTTGTAGCGAAATGCTTCTGTTCCTAGCTCCAACAGTGCAGTAGTATCTAACAATTCACAACAATACACACATCTCAAAGTAAAATAATGGAATTAAGAAATATATAAATATTAGGGCGACAATGTCGGAGTGGCATTGACTAGAATACAGTATATACATATGAAATGAGTAAAACAGTATGTAAACATTATTCAAGTGACCAGTGATTCCATGTCTATGTACATAGGGCAGCAGCCTCTAAGATGCAGGGTTGAGTAACCGAGTGGTAGCCGGCTAGTGACAGTGACTAAGTTCAGGGCAAGATACTGGGTGGTAGCCGGCTAGTGATGGCTATTTAATAGTCTGATGGCCTTGAGATAGAAGCTGTTTTTTAGTCTCTCTGTCCAAGCTTTGATGCACCTTTACTAACCTCTCCTTCTGGATGATAGTGGGGTGAACAGGCCTTGGCTCAGGTGGTTGATGTCCTTGATGATCTTTTTGGCCTTCCTGTGACATCGGGTGCTGTAGGTGTCCTGGAGGGCAGGCAGTGTGCTCCCGGTGATGCGTTGGGCAGACCGCACCACCCTTTGGAGAGCCCTGCGGTTGCGGGCGGTGCAGTTGCCGTACCAGTGGGTGATACAGCCCGACAGGTTGCGCTCAATGGTGCATCTGTAAAAGTTTGTGAGGGTCTTAGGGACCTAGACACATTTCTTCAGCCAGTCTGTGTGGGTGGACCATTTCAGATTGTCAGTGATGTGTACGCAGAGGAACTTTAAGCTTTTCACCTTCTCTACTGTGGTCCTGTGGATGGGGGCATGCTCCATCTGCTATCTCCTGAAGTCCACATTCAGCTCCTTCATTTGTTGACGTTGAGGGAGAGGTTATTTTCCTGGCAACACTCCGCCAGGGCCCTCACCTCCTCCCTGTAGGCTGTCTCGTCATTGTTGGTAATCAGGCCTACTACTGTTGTCGTCTGCAAACTTGATGATTGAGTTGGAGGCGTGCGTGGCCACGTAGTCATGGGTGAACAGGGAGTACAGGAGGGGGCTGATTACGCACCCTGGTGGGGCCCCTGTGTTGAGGATCAGCGTAGTGGAGGTGTTGTTTCCTACCTTTGCCACCTGGGGCGGCCCATCAGGAAGTCCAGGACCCAGTTGCACAGGGCGGTGTTCAGACCCAGGGCCCCGAGCTTAATGATGAGCTTGGAGGGTACTATGGTCTTGAAGGCTGAGCAGTAGTCAATGAACAGCATTCTTACATAGGCATTCCTCTTGTCCAGATGGGATAGGGCAGTGCGATGTCGATTGCATCGTCTGTGGATCTATTGGGGCAGTATGCAAATTGAGTGGGTTTAGGGTGTCAGGTAAGGTGGAGGTGATATGATCCTTAACTAGCCTCTCAAAGCACTTCATGATGACAGAAGTGAGTGCTACGGGGCGATAGTCATTTAGTTCATTTACCTTTGCTTTCTTGGGTACAGGACATCTTGAAGCAAGACAGCAGACTGGGATAGGGAGAGATTAAATTTGTCCATAAACACTCCAGCCAGCTGGTCATGAAACACAGACCTTATTTGAAGTGTTTCTAAAATCCCCTATGGGAAAAGTGAATGGTGGAAAAACAATTTCAACCATTTCCCTGTTTGACTGCTAGGTTTTATGGGTATTATGACATCTCCACTGTGGGGCTCTATAGCCGACAGTAATTGCGGGCTAGTCTTTGGGTGCTGAAATCAGTCCTTCTTCTTCTTTGGGATTTGGTTGGCGGATCGCATCCAACTTTTAGGTGCATAAAACGCCACCTACTGTACTGGAGTGTGAATACAACAGGTGTAGACCTTACCATGAAATGCTTACTTACAAGCCCTTAACCAACAATGCAGTTCAATAAATAGTTAAGAAAATGTTTACTAAATAAAATAAAATAAAAGGTAACACAATAAAACAACAATAACAAGGCTATATACATTTACATTTTAGTCATTTAGCAGATGCTCTTATCCAGAGCAACTTACAGTTAGTGAGTGCATACATTTTTCATACTGGCCCCCCGTGGGAATCGAACCCACAACCCTGACGTTGCAAGCACCATGCTCTACCAACTGAGCTACAGGGGACCAATCAGGCCTTTATGGCAGAGTGGCCAGACGGAAGCCACTCCTCAGTAAAAGGCACATGACAGCCCGCTTGGAGTTTGCCAAAAGCCACCTAAAGACTCTCAGACCATGAGAAACAAGATTCTCTGGTCTGATGAAACCAGGATTGAACTCTTTGGCCTGAATGCCAAGCGTCACATCTGGAGGAAACCTGGCACCATCCCTATGGTGAATCATGGTGGTGGCAGCATCATGCTGTGGGGATGTTTTTACCGAGTCAATGTGCGGGGGTACAGGTTAGTCGAGGTAATTTGTACATGTAGATAGGGGTAAAGTGACTATACATAGATAATAAACAGAGAGTAGCAGCAGTGTAGAAAACAAAGGTGGGGGGGTCAATGTAAATAGTCTGGATGGCCATTTGTTTAATTGTTCAGCAGTCTTATGGCTTGGGGGTAGAAGCTGTTAAGGAGCCTTTTGGACCTAGACTGGGCGCTCCGGTACCACTTGCCGTGCGGTAGCAGAGAGAGCAGTGTATGACTTGGGTGACTGGAGTCCTTGACAAATTTTTGTGCCTTCCTCTGACACCGCCTAGTATGTAGGTCCTGGATGGCAGGAAGCTTGGCCCCAGTGATGTACTGGGCCATACGCAATACCCTCTGTAGTGCCTTGCGGTCGGATGCCGAGCAGTTGCCATACCAGGCGGTGATGCAACTGGTCAGGATGCTCTCAATGGTGCAGTGGTATAACTTTTTGTGGCTCTGGGGACCCATGCCAAGTATTTTCAGTCTCCTGAGGGGGAAAAGGTGTTGTCGTGCCCTCTTCACGACTGTCTTGATGTGTTTGGACCATGATAGTTTGTTGGTGATGTGGACGCCAAAGAACTTTAAACTCTCGACCCGCTCCACTATAGCCCCGTCGATGTGAATGGGGGCGTGTTCGGCCCTCCTTTTCCTGTAGTCCACGATCAGCTCCTTTGTCTTGCTCACGTTGAGGGAGAGGTTGTTGTCCTGGCACCACACTGCCAGGTCTCTGACCTCCTCCCTATAAGCTGTCTCATCATTGTCAGTGATCAG